TCTTTGGCAGTGACGAGGGCATGGAGGGTAGAGTAATCCTAGTGAGTCTGAATTTGGTGCATCTGTTTTGTTGTTCCCAAGAAAGGAGGCAAACTCCGGATGTGTATTGACTACCACGGACTTAAGTGAATCATAAGAAAGAATGTTTATCCTTTACCACACATTGATGACTTGATTGATGCTGCAGTTGGGTGCAAGATCTTGGGTCTTGCTACCACCAGATTGAAGTCTATCCTGCAGACCAGCACACACAAAACCGCATTCAAGACACACAACGGGCTGTACGAATTTATCGTTATGCCATTCGGTCTTACGAATGCGCTGACCACCTTCCAATGCCACATGAACAAGATACTTTATAAACAGATTGGATGGTTTGTTGTTGTGTATCTGGATGATATCTTGATCTTCAGCAAGTCAATGGAAGAACACATAGAACAGATTGAGGAAGTGTTCACCATCCACAAGAAAACGCAGCTCCATCTTAACTTAGGGAAATATGAGTTTGGGAGGGACAACGTCATCTATGTTGGGCATCACTTGTCTGTTGCAGGCCTTGAGCCCGAGGCAACTAAGGTTGAGGTCATTCGCAAGTGGCCCCAACCCTTGAATGTTTGTGAGCTGCGTTCTTTTTTTGGCCTTATGTCGTATTACCCGAAGTTTGTCCCTCGATTCTTTTGCATCACACACTCATGGTCGGGACTTACTAGCAAGAATGTATAGTACACGTGAGAGGACGCATGTGAGACTGCCTGCCAAGCCTTGAAGGAGGCCTTGGTGAGCCATCCAATGCTCCGCATTGCAGATTCCAAACTTACATTCATAGTCACTACAGATTCGAGCCAATATGGGATTGGCGCAGTGCTGCAACAAGATGACGGGGATGACTCGTGCCCACTCAAGTACTACAACAAATGCATACCCTGCGAAAAGGTAGCCACTTCCACTTATGTGTGYRAGATGTATGCTTTSCGTAACGCACTCAATGATTGGAAGCAKTATCTTTTGGGACGCCACTTMAAAGTGTACTCAAATCACGAGACTTTGATGTSGATYAAGRAACAAACCCTTATCSACTACCTTGACCTRCTGRTTSCATGAGATTGATATTTTTTATTTTGAATTGAAGCACAAAAAGGGTTGTTACAATCGAGGTGTTAATGCAGTGTCTCACCAACTGAAGTACATGACTTGCCTTGTGAGCTCTTACGACCTTCGGAAGAAACTGAAAGAGGAACTAGTTGAATAAACTGCCAAGGATCTGGAGCTTAGCGTCATCCTTGAGAAGCTCAAGGATGACTATTCGGTTGACCCCAACAGTCAGCTTGATTTCCACGAATGTGAGGATTTGCTGTATCAACGTTACGAGAAGCGTGGTCGTTTGTATGTAACCGACCATAAGCCTCTCCGTACTCAGTTCTTGGATCTGGCTCACGACCTGAGTGGACTCTTGGCTTAGAGAAAACATTGTTGGAACCTTTGGTTCTCGAATCGAGTCCCGACTGTTGCATACTTGTGAAACACAGTCATAAGCATGGCGCAGATTCCCAAAACCGACCAGATAATAAAGAGTTAATACAAATGCAAGCGGAAGACTTGAGATACCTAGGACTGACTCGGACCTGACTCGGACTGCAATCGAACACTCTCAAACATTTATCAGCGGTGTGAAAGCCCTGGCCTTAGGCATAGACGAAAGGCCAGGGTCTGAGATCATCCACAGACGGATGGGAGGAGGAGAGAGATGAAGGCAGGAGGAGAGGGACGATGACGTCAACTCAATGTCTCCAAAGATAGTATCTTGAAATGTCGAAAGTGACGAAAATCTGAGATGTCGTGACTACAATGTCTCAAAATGTCTCAGATATCGATCTCACAATGTCAAGTACATCCTCAGGAGGAAGATGAAATCAGATCCCCAAGTAGTCCTCAAATCGTAGTCCCAATGTCGTTGTTCCCAATGTTAGGAGAACCCAGAATTAGACTCATAATTTGTAACCATCCTTCATACTGTAGTAGTTCCGTAGGAGAACCCAGAATTAGAC